AGGTGGCGCTACAAATCCGTGCGGACACAATCACCTTGAATAACTTTCGTTCTATCTGATCTGACTTTCAATCTTAATGGTTCCTGGGGGTGACCTCAAATATGCAAAATATTTAGTGCTAACTATTGATTAAGTTACGAAATCGGACACAGAAATGTACTTTCCCTGAATAAACATATATATATACTATATATATTTTTCATATTAGGAATTTTAACCTTCAAAACATAAGGGGCAGCCACAATCTGGGAAATACGGTCCCAGTTTGTGATACGGTCCCCATAGTTTGGTCAGGAGAGCGATCCAAAGTTCGAACCCCTTAATGTTAATTTCACTTTTTGCGTTTTTGTCATGTTTTTAAAACAAATGAAGCACTAATTGCACTCACTTATGAAACCCATTTATGAGCGTGAGCCAAACTGCTCACCCAGGGGTACGTGAGCCAAACTGCTCACGTACCCCTGGGGGTACGCGTGCCACAGTTTGGGAAACACTGTAGTAGACAATTGATACATCATTTTATTGCTGTGTCCTGTAGTGGACTGATCGTATCGTTAAGGCACGATTCCCAGTAGAATACCGAAGTCAAGCATCTCTGGCTGCGGTCAGTGTGCGGGTGGGTGACCGCTTGGATCAGTCTACGAAGGGTGAGCTGTGTTAGTCCTCGTTAAACTGCTCTAACTTACTCCACTTCACGTGGAGGTCGTTCGGCTGCCGAAGAGGGGGGTGGGGTGCCATCCTCTCTGCAGAGGATCAAAATTGTGATGGCATGTCTTCAGATCATCCTCAGAGATGTTTCCCAGACTGTTGCCAAGCCCATTGTGCAGCTCTAGTACGACATAATTAAACTACAGCAACAACCTATGTATTGTTGCACATTAATATGCAGGCTTGTACGCTCATTAAAAAGATGTCTTTCAAGGCTTTTTAAGTTGAAGGACAGATAGCACAAATCAGAGAAGAACATCATGAAAATTCATCCAGGGTTACCGCGGTATTTGGGTCCTCTTCTTCCACTAAATAATAGAAGAACGAGAGAGTTCTGCTAGGGTGGCCACTTATATATCCCTTTATAGGTACAACATACATTTGCAGGCTTGTGTGCTTAATTAAAGCTTATAAACCTTTGTCAAGTAGGAGGACAAATAGCACAATACAGAGAAGGACATCACAAAGAATACATCCAGGGTTATGGCGACATTCGAACCTGCCACCTCCACGCTTAACAGAGCATTTGGTGGGCGATACCGCTCGTCCAGGGAGGCCCCTATATATCACTTTATTGGCTCATTGGAATTATATACATTTGCAAGCTTGTGTGCTCAATTTAGGCTTATAAGCATTTGTCAAATAGATGGACAGATAATATAATAAGGACAGCAAGAATATCCAATGTAACAGCGGGATTCGAACCCACTACCTCCACGCTTTGCACAGCGATTGGGGCGATACCGCTCGGCCAGGGAAATATTGAGTTATGTTTAAAAATAATTGTTATCGGTGTTGTAAAGAAGTATCAAAGAGCAGGGTAGAAGTTATCTGTGCAAAGTTCTCAGCAAATTTTGATTTTATACATTTCTTTAAGTTTAACAGTATATGTGGTAAAGGTAAAAGTATTGTGGTAAAGGAAAAAAAGGAAGTATTGTGGTAAAGGTAAATATTTCTTTTAATTATGGAAATTTTGCCCTTATTTAATTAATGTACAATATGCTTATGCTGTTTTTTTATTAAGTATATTTTTAATAATAATATTTTATTAAAATATAAAATGTTTTTATCATGTTCTTTAAAAATGGTGGTGGTCTTTCAAAAAAGAAAGAAAAAACATCATTTCTAGACCGAATTATCTTTTAAACTTCTGTGATTTCAGAACTTTTGTTATTGTTTATTTTTTTCATTTTGTCAATTTAAATCCTATCTGAAGCAAGCCACTCATTGGCGAACTTTCTTTATCCCGAAATGTGAACAGAAAAATTATTGGTATTTCTTTCCTTTCCGATAAACAAAAAAAGTATCTTAATATAATTCTATAGAGAAAAAAAAATTTGTATTTTTTTTCACTTATTTTATTGCTTCAACTCTTTCTTTATTCTGTTTTTAAATTTAAAATCTATAAACATGAAGATGCAGAGTTTAACAGTTTTGGTTATATCTATCATTTCAATTAATGTAATGATAATGCTTTTTTAAATTCATTATTGTGTCTTTGTCGGAGAAAATAGTCACTTTGTTAAGTCATGAAAGATTCTTGGAATTAGCCATGGAAAGTCATGAATTTGAAAATCCAAAATGTAGCAGATATCCTGTATATAAATTAATATCCAGTTATTGCTCATAAAATTTTCAGGATTTTTTTTAAGTTGTCACAGTTACCCTATTTATAGTCTGTTTATAATCATTTATTTCAAAGCATGTATGCAATAGTTAAATTTTTGCACTCTTTTTGATAAGTATTTTTTCCATAGCCTACCCAGCTAAAAATAAACTACAACTTTTCTACAGAACTGAAGTAATTTTGTAGTTTTTCTATAGTTAACTACAGATTTTCTGTAGTGCAATCTTAACTGTAAAAACACTGCAGTTATTTTGCAGTTAATGTGAAGTAATTTTTCAGTAATTTATTTCAAAAAAACTTTTAGCTTATTGTCTACAAAATTACTACAGTTTAAGTGAGATCACTTTAAAATCATGAATTTAGAAAAAACTGAAACTTTAAATCCGTGGTTATTCTGCAGTGAATTTGAAGTAATTATGCAGTCATTGTTTTAGAAGTATACTTTCTGATGCAGAAAAACTGCAGTTACTTTGTATTGTTGTAAAATGTATTGATGTCTTCAATCCTGCTTTCCTTGTTGATATATCTAATTTTTATAATGTTTGTCATTTTTTCCCTTCCTTTTTGTTTATATATTAGATTCTTATAATTAGGTAATAATTCTAAACATATATATATAGATAACGGAAATAATGTACACTATCTATATTCATAAAATTACATTAAAAACAGAGGACACAGGTATATTTAGACCTATTATAAATCATTCTCGGGGTCTAATTTCGTTGTTACCTGAAACTGAATGCGTAAAAACATTCCATGTTCAGAACTAATTTCTAAAGGTCTTTTAAGGCCTGCTTTTAATATTGCATCACATCGGGTCTTTTTATTATATATCAATGCTCCTTTTCTGTAGACAGTTAATTTGAAAATTCTTAATTTCAGAACTTAGAAAATAACTTACTTTTTTTAAAATTTTTTATTTAAGTTATTCTATTTTAGTCAAAATATCCAATAAAATTTATCTAAAATTCAAGACAAAAACTTCAAAAATCACTTATGTACATTATAAATCATTCTCGGGGTCTAATTTCATTGTTACCTGAATGTTACCATTGTTCAGGCCTATGGTATATATTTTGAATAAAGTCTACATTTGTACCCGCCGTGTCGTTTCGTACCTTTTCATTTGATCACCCCTTGTACATTTGTAAGTATCATTCAAGTACGTAAGTATCTCATATACGCATTAAAATTTTTAGATTTCAATTGTCTGATAAAAATCATCTAGTCATATGGTAGCAATTACCTACCGTATATTCCGGCGTATAACGCGCACTTTTGATACAAAAAATAACATTGGAATTTACGGGTGCACGGTATACGACGAATATAAAAAATCAGATTAAAAAAATTTAAATATAGAAAAATACTTTTATTTTAAAGAAATAACGTACCTTTACTTAAATGCTTTATTGATTTTCGTTATTACATAACATTACACTTCAGTTTAGAATAAGTTATGCTTTAAATTAAAATAAGCTTAAGCTAATGCCTTAAGCTAAAAGCTATGCTTTAAATTAAAATAACTAAAAATTATAGAATTTTTATTAGTATTCTATCAATATTTCAAAAAACATACGGCTCATTATAAACAAGAACTGCTTAAACAAGAAATTTTTTTACATACATATGATAAAGTTTTTACTCTACCATTTGTAGAATATCATAAAAAATGGTGTATGCAAATATTTCAAGAATCTGCTATAAAAACTTTTATAGTTAGATATAAATTCCAACCCATAAACTGATTACATTTTCAATTCTAGAAAAATTAAGTTTATGAGATATGTTCTTTCCTTTTTTCTTAGATGCAAGAAAATAAGTCTATATATGATCCTCCTTCTACATTTAATAGCAATACACTACCAAGAGAAAGGCGAGATAGTGCTTTAAGTTCTGGAAGTCGATATAGTTCTGGCAGTATGTCAGCTGTAAACAAAAATGTGACCAAAGAAGTGAAAAAGGCAGAAGTCAAAGAGGACAAAGCTGATACGCAAGTAAAAAACATACCTGAAATGGTCCATTTTTCCTGATTCGTATAAAGACTTAATAATTTTAGTTTTTCTTTCTGTTTCTGCTAGAAGTTAAAATCTTCTTGAATTTTTAGTTTTATTGATAATAACACTTTTAAGAGAACCAAGGGACAATAAGTAAAAGATAACTGAATTTAATCATTTTAAAATTAGTTGTGACTGAACATATAATATTGGTAACTCACCATATGTTACGAGTTTTAAATTAATTTTCACTAATACATATTGATTAATAAACAATTTCATTACTAATTCGCATTATTTCTTTACAAATTTATTCAAAGTGAATCCATCAGTTTATTGTGCTACATTAAGCGCATATAGCATTGTCTCTATTTTATGTGCAAAATTAATGATTTTAATTTCTTTTTTTTTATTTCTTTTTTTTTATTTATTTGCCAAAATATATCCATTGCTAGTTTGAAACATTTAATACTTGACAATGCAATATTTTAGTGTATAAAATAGTTTTTCATTTATACAAATTTAATTGGAAATTATTGTTTTTTTTTTTTTAATTTTAAATTGATTATCATGTTTTCCTCTCTGCAAAATTCCAACAAGGCTCCATGGAGAGATTTTGGATAAAATTTTGATTTTATTTTTAAGATGTTAAGATATTAAAGATGTGATCTTTGTTTTGACAACCAATAAGTTAACTAATATTTTCAAATCATCTTTCAGGCTTTTTAAAAAGAAATTTTTTTTTTAAATTTGCTAGTTTTAACTTTGCTAAAAGTATATTTTTTCTTAATGTTTACCATGAATGTTGATTATGCAATTAAAAGCAAATTACAAAAGTTCTTTAAAAAAACTGCAGTTTGAAGACTGCGGTGATTTGGCCAATTCCACTGCAGAATTTTTAAAGTCGAAGAACTACAAAATTACTACAGTTTGTAAACTGCAGTAATTTTGCAGTAGTATCAACTTCAAAATCACTGCAGTAATTTTGAACTCAAACTGCAAAATTACTGCAGTAATTTTGAAGTTGATACTACTGCAAAATTACTGCAGTTTACAAACTGTAGTAATTTTGTAGTTCTTCGACTTCTGTAGTGGAATTGGCCAAATCACCGCAGTCTTCAAACTGCAGTTTTTCTTTAAATTTTATGCAGTTTATTTATGCATAAAATTTAATTATTATTTTATGCAGTTTCTGCTATTATTATGTTGATTTTGGTAGCCTGATGACCTGCTTGCAAAGTCAGGCACTTTACGGTAGAACAGTTTAATGAGGACAGATACCGCACACCCTCGTTCCCTACGCAGGATGATATAAGTGGTCTCTCACTCGCTGTTGTTGGATAAGCCGTCTCGGGGACGCGTAAAATTTCTGATTTTTTTCAAGCCCTGCCTTACTTAGTTTCATGGTGTTCCAAATATCTGAATTAGTAACAAAATCCACACTCAGTCATATTTTATTGAAATATAAATTTTTTTTATCGTGTTTTTTAAAAACTATGATGTTCTTTTCCGAAAATGAAAGAAAAAACATCATTTCTAGACCGATTTATGTTTTAAACTTCTGTGATTTCAGAATTTTTACTATTATAATTTTTTTTCTTTTTATCAATTTCAAATTCTAGCTTAAGCAAGCTAGTGATTGGCGAATTATTTTTGTTCCGAAACTAGAACAGAAACTATTTTTTTCCTTTCGAATGAACAAGAAAAGTATCTGCAGTATATAATTCTGCACAAAAAAATAAATAACAATAAAATAAAAATTTACTTTTGTATTTTTTAGCTACTTTATGGCTTCAACTCTTTCTTTACTCTGTTTCTAAAGTTTAAAATTAATAAATATGAAGATACAGAGTATAAGAAATTTGGTTATACCAATCCTTTCAATTAATGTTATTATTATGCTTTTTTTAATTTATTGTTGCATTTTTATCGGGGGAAATAGTCACTTCGTAAAGTTAGGAAAAATTCTTGGAATTAGTCACTGAAAGTCATGAATTTAAAAATCTAAAATGTAACAGATGCCCTGGAAATAAATAAATTAATAAGGAAATTATTTTTCTGAGTTATATGAAGTTTGTTGGAAGAGTTTAAAACACATTTCTCTCCGAAAACTATTTATACCTAATGATTTTCATTTTTGAGTGAAATTCACTTACAGTACCTATAATAATAATTACGACCAACCGGAATAACTTTTGATCTAATGATCGAATCTTCACGTTCTAGGATTCAATCTTAATGGTTTATGAGAGTGACCTCAAATATGGTAAAAACTTAATGCAGTCGATATTTTGAGTTACAAAATCAGATATGGAAGCGAACTTTCTCTGAATAAACACATTTTTTCCCCAACGGATTCGGATTTCATGCCCCTAAAATATAGGGGGTAGCCGAAAAAAAGTCAGATACTTAAAATTCGATTTCTCAGGAACTGTTCAACCAATTTTGTTTAATCTGCGCATTTTGCTATATGAAATTACATTCTTTAAAATTATGCAAAAAATTTTGTATCTTAAAATTCAAAAAGTTTTAGACCATTCTTTAATGAAATAGTAAATATTTACTAGAAGTTATTTTTTGCATGGAGTTATCTTTAGATAAATGAAATTTATAACTGTGTCATTTTCAAATTCTGAAGTTTAATTGGGACTATTGAATTTTTATAATTATTTTTAAATGATTTGTATATGCATAGACATTTTTTTCTTATATGCATAGATGCCAAAGCAAGAAACCGAAAAAGTCAAAGTCTGCTTGAGAATAAGGAAAGAAAAGGATGAGAAAGCATTTGAAGAATTTTACAATTTAGTCGATGAGAAGACCGTGTTAGATATACATTCTGTAAGTTATTTCAATAATTTTTTTTTCTTTAATTTACCTTTTAGTTTATTTTACTTTTTTAAATGCTCTAAAAAAAGGCATCTATGTAGCTAAATATTTATAATAATGCTACAGATTCACAATTACATCAGTTCTGTTAGACTCAATATTTAAAGGTTGCACCAAAAGTTGATATATACAATCGAACTTCTATTTAACGAACTTCCCTTTTACGAATTTCTCTATTTTGCGAATTCTTTTGAGAATACAAGAACATTTTGGAAATTTCTTCGTAAAATAACTTCCAAATAGCGAAGTGAATTTTCTATTTAACGAACTTGTTTTTGAGATCCACTTTCTCTATTTCCGTAAAATTTCAGAATATTTTAAACTTGTTAACGCATTTTATGGGGGGAAATGCCCTTGAATTGATTATTGAAGCCACTTAACTTTTAGAGAAAGCAGTAAAATCCCTTTTTTGCATTTCGAATGAAAAATTCAAACAAAATTAACGGATTTTATCAGTAGGCATTAAGAATGCATGTAGTAATGCGTGTTTAATATTACTTTAATGCAGCGCAAATTTTACTCATAAATTCAGCTTCTTTTAGTTTAAAATGCATGTAGCAGGATAGTGTAACACTGAATAATGTTTTGCTCTATTCCTGCTTTCCATGCACATTTCTTATATTTTTAAGATTTATAAAATAAATAGAAGATACTACTTTGCAAGATAAAGGTGTATTAATAGCTATTTTAATGATGTCTACTGTGTATGAATTTAAAACCTGTTTTGTGTCGTTTAAGTATTTCAAATGGTGATTTTCTATTTAGCGAATTTTCCATGTAACGAACTTATTATCGGGATTTAGCGACTTCGTTAAATAGAGGTCCGACTGTATATCCCAATATAAGGTTTTTTCAGCACAGCAAAAATCTTTTCATGTAAAATCCATCTCTCATTGACTTATATCTAGTGGGTCTTCAGCAGTAGTTACCACTTACTTATGGAACCAATTGTTTTTGCAACTAACAATGCCTCAAGGGGACTTATATCAAAATCAGTTTTCAAGATACTTTCATTATCAATGTTAGTTGTATCAGCTTCAGTGCCAAAATTTGATTAACCAAATGTTCTTTTTGAAATAAATTCTTCAATATTGAGAAAAGCACAGGCTATTGGATATTTGGGAGATTAAACTTTTCTGTCGTCAATGTTCCTTTAAAAATTTGCAACATAACTTGTGAGATTTCCCTCTCAAGCTTCTGAAGAAATAGTGCATCGTAACTCTCGAAGCATGTATTTTGTTGATAAGTTGTCTTGCTCATTAACTCTTGGTGTCTGTTTTGCATGCATTTGTTAAAGTCAACGTTTTTTACATCGAATGGAAAAATATCGCATTTCATAAAAGCATTTTAACTTCATCAGTTGATGCCTCAAAATCTTATTTAAAAATGGATGTAAAATTTTCTCGACATATTGCTTTACAATTCTTTTAAGATCTAACGGGAGATTTCCCTGAATTAGGTAGAAAACTAAACCAGAAAATTTGTTTTGATGAACATAACTTGCTCAGTTTCAAATTGATATGAGATTTATACCTATCCAAAACAAGCAAAATAGGGAATTTGATAGCATTTTTAATTAGCCATGGGTAGAAACATTTGCAATATATTTGTAAAATGTTGCTGCGGTCATCGTTTCATTTCATGAATAGCTTTTTCCAATGAAATATGTAGCAGGGACTGATTCTGTAATATCTCTACGAATTCTTCTGTAAGGAAAAACTACCAATGGAGGTACTTTTTCTTTCCTAGGTACTTTAGAATATAAATCCTTATAATTTTTAAGGCCGCAGATTTTTCCCGTTTAAGGGCAGTATTCAACTCTTGTTTCATTCGCATTGTAAATGCAATCACTTTATAAAAGGATGCCAGGGCTACTTCCCTCCTAAAGATTCTCTGAAGTTCTTAAAACCAGTATTTCGAATATTATTCTCTAAGGGAAGTTTTGCCTTTTGAAATTATCTTCGCATTGCACTGAGTTATCGGTGGATGTGGCCTTAAAAAAAAACTTCACCCATTTTTCACCTGGATGATTGTTTTTAAATGGATTTTTCCTACCAGTTCCCGTCTGGACGTTAAAAGCCGCAATAGGATAATAACTTAGCTAATTATTAGCATAAAAGGCCTGCAAAGAAATTTTCTATTCAAGACCAGGTAACTCAATGCATTGTTAGATGACTTCCTATTGTTAGGTAGTAATGTACTGTTACCAATCAATCTAAATTAAAACATTTGAAATCTAATTTTTAAAAAATATCGATAAAATGTTCCTTCACTGGGGTGTGTTCCATCACTGGTTGGTTTACCCTATATCGTCTTTATCTTAAAAGAAATTTCCGGAAGTGTTACACAAATGTTACGCAAAACTATTTTACCAATTACTTAAGTAAATTTTGACATTTTTAAGAATCTTATTCTTTACCCTTTTACGTTTATTATTTCTTCATTAATATACTAATCAATTTTTTTAGTTCTTTAATTTAGGTTTTCTTTAAAGTAAAGTTCCTTTCTAAATTATAGTAAAGTTTTCTTAAAAAGAATTATTGTCTGCTAGCTAAGAATAAAACCTTGTTAAGAAATTAAAAACATTCCTCTGTTTAAAATTATTTCATGCAAAACAGCTGATTATTTACTAAGCATACTATTTTATTTTTTTTTTTTGAAAAAAGAGTATAAATTATTGATTGACTTTTTTTTATGTTTCTCGTGACTTCAACATAGATTATCTGAAATAGTTTTGATGTTTCCTAAGTCACAACAAAGAGTATAAAGATACAGAACATAAAAAGCTGTCGAATACGTAGCCAAATTTTTAAGCGTCTTAAAATGTCTCAGTATCTTAACTGCCGTCCCAACATCTTAGTTGCGAAATTAAATTTTTAATTATCTGATCACGTGTGATTCACTAATTATTTCATTATATCTTTTACTCTTTCTTTATGATACCAAGTAGATTTTTTTCCTGATAATATACTAAACTATTTTGTTTAATTTTTTACTTTAGCACGATTCCCAAGATATTATTGTAATATAATTTGTTATCAGGAAAATGCCTTATTAAGTAGGAAATACTAAAAATAGAAATTTGTAAGAAGATTCCGAAGCCGTGCCAATTTTAGAGTCATCTGATTTTGGAGAAATACTATAAAAAATACGCAATTTCCAAACTTATTTTAATAAATAAATAAATAAAAAAACGTGGCAGGAAGGCTAACATACTTTTTACAGAAACTGTGAAAACTAATTTTTCCTATATTTCTCCAAAAAGGATAAGAATGATATTGCTCCAAGGAACCTACTCAATAATTTCGCTATTTCCAGAATGAAATCTGTTTGATCGAAACATATTATTCCTTGAAAATTAAAACGAAGAAAAATTAGCTTTTATTATTTATCTAAGCTTATTCCATTTATTTAATGATAGCAGTATTAAGGTTAAGAATATGCGATGGAAGCCCCGTTTACTATTATACTATAAATGCATTAAATCATGTAGCTTGAATAATTTATTTTAAGCAAATTATTTAATAATTTTAAGCAAATAAGGGTGTAAAAATAAACTCGATCAAAATAAAGCATACCCTAAAATAAAAAAAACCAGAAGCATACCCTAAAATATATGTAGAATAAACTTTGGAATCCATACATAAAAAATACCTTCTCAAAACTTATTTTAATATCGAGTGAAATAATTTCATATGTTGTGTAACTAAATGGATAATCCCAAGAAACTGAATCTAAAATATAAAAACTTCATTGATAAAATAATAGATGATTATAAAAGTAGACATGTTTTGAGAGTCCAATAATGAAAGTCACAAGTTATTCAAGCCTGACAAGTCTTGAGAATGGGCTATTATATTTGAAAGCTCGAAGCATGTCGACTTCTACTTTTCTCTTCACATGTTCTGAAGGCAGCTGAGTTTTTATCGTCAATTATACTGTTTTGCATTTGGGTCTTGATCATTATTTTGATAAGGATTTTGCACTCGTTAAAATAAACATATGCATTTTAATATTTTAACGGGATTCATGTGGTCTTTAAAAACGTAAAAGCATCAATATTGTAAAAGACCGCATTAGGCGACATATGCATTCAGCTGGCCGCATTAGACGGCTAGTTGTTAATATATATAGAATATCAGCAGCGTTTATTTCCGAAGACAACAGTCAACAATACATTTAAAATTCAGTGTAAAAAATGTTAAGTATAAAAACTGGGGTATTAGGGGAAAAGGTGAATTGGCATGTTTTTTTTTTTTAATTGGTTCAAAATTAAAAGGCTACGAAGTTGAGCCCTAGTAGTTGTAACCCAGAGTAGTCTATCACAGAGGTTACTGGTTGATATGAATTCTGCTCCCAGCTCGTACCGACCACAGTACTGACATAAAATATAGTCTGTGGTCAACAACTCAGGGTTAGAATTCCCTTTCCGTTGGGCGAACCGAGGGAGATTTTCGTGGTTTTCCACACCATGTAACGGTTCAATGAAGCTACGAAGGCTAGTTTGTCCCAGGGCTAAAGAGAATAAAAGGGCTGATTCACTCCTTTGAAGTAGCTCTCGCCGCGCCAATCCTCCGATTTTCTCTAGTGACGTCACTTTGGCGCAAAGCTCGCACTTTTACTTCAAGAACGGAGCGTTCGGCCTTACTAGCTCTAACTAATATTGGAGCATTTCTTTTTGCGAGATATTCCAAGACATTTGTTATTTTCTATAATGACTTTCCTCAGTTTTTGCAGTGAATTTACAAGAATTTAAAACTATTATCGAAATGCCAGTTTGCGCGACTGCAACTTGAAAAAATTTTGATATAAAAACAAAAGGAAAAAATATAATTTTCTGCGTTTTCCCCCAAAGTAAATGAACAACTATGTAAGGAATGGATTCCGAAATGACACAGTTAATATAAAACAGCAATATGTTTATTCTGTCGTTAAGAACTTTTATAAAAATTCATTATCTAAATAGAAACCGCCTCGTTACTTCAAAAAGAAAGGCAGGTGAAAAAAATTAAAAAATGGACAAAGAAAATTAAAATGTAAATAAAAAGTATAAATAAAATATATAGTATATAGTTGGAGTTCTTCTAATTTCATAACATATTTTTTAATGTAGTTATTCTAAATATTTGATTTTTTTAAAAATTATATTCTCTTAAATTCAAATATCTATAAACAATTGTAAAATTTCTAATGTCATTATGAACCTAAATTATTATTTTGTTTCAGTAATTAGCGTTTAAGGTTGATGTTTTCTAATTATTAAGTGTGAACAAATTGCCATTAATGGCATATTTTAAAATCAGGGATTCTAAATTTAACTCAACTTATTGTTATAAAAGAATATGTAGATAAAAAAAGGGTCGATATATACTTTCATTTTTCTTAATAATTAAAGTTAAAACTGAACTTTTTAAAATAGTATTTATAGTGTCATTTTCGCCAACTAGTAAAACATTTTTATAAGTTTAAAATTGTTTTTTTTTAATATAATAACCAAGAAAGTTTTTTTGAACTATGTTTATGAACGGAAATAATGTGTAAATTACGCAAAGTTTGAAAGCTGATAACCAGAAAAAGTCTAACTTATTTTTACAAAGAGAAAGATGCAAAGTTATCATATCTTTGCTTGCGATCTCCGAGATCTGTGGACACAGTGACGTCATGAGGAGGGAAATCGTAGCTTCAGCTCTAAGAGCGAAGTGAACTGGCCCTTCTATTCTCTTTAGCCCTGAGTTTGTCCCATGCATGGTTGTAGGAGTCATGCGTTTTCTCATATCAATTACGTTGATTATCATATGAAATAATAATCTTATACATACTAATGTAGTTAAACTTGTATTATAAAACAATCTGATTTTTTTAATATTATGAAAAGTTGTTTAGCATTCTTTAATTATGCACCAGAAAGTCTTATTTTAGTTTTGTTATACATATAAGCTAAGCACGCGAGGCATCTTCAGGATGACGGGTCCAACTATCAACGGGCTACATATAATATATATTTTGCAAAATTTTAAATTTTTGCATCTAAGTTGTGGAAGATATAATATAATTATATTATTTATTTTGCTCATACCCTTTTCAATGCCTTCCTTTAGCAAAAGATATACACCTTTGACAAGATCATTGGACCTAATTCTGCAGAAGAAGATGTGTTTAATGAAGTTGGTAAACCTGTAGCTGACAGTAAGTAAAGATACTTGTAAGAGTTAAATTAAATATAATTTTGGTGCGTAATAAAGTATATTATTTATGAATTATAATTAATAGATTGAAATATTTGGTATATGTTCTAATAATTGGGTTTGTATATGTATTTGGATATAGTCATGATTAAAAATAGTCAAATGATTGAAATGTCGTGATAAAACAAATTAAGGCCGAAATATATATAAGGTAATTAAATCAAATTAAAGGGGAATGTGAGCGTTAAGGAAAGTGGTAGTACAATGCTAATGTGGGATAACAATAACCCAATAGGTCCAAAGGGTCACAAAGTGTGAGGTTTGAACAAATTGGATGATTTGGTATCACCAAATTTGGAAAAAGGGCGAAACTAAAATAAATTAAAGATTAAAGATAAATAAGGTAAAGTCATGCTATATCCAAAATATATATATGATTTAATACAGTAAGCTGATGTTTCCAATAAGAAAAACTAATAAATTCACATATATGCATGCCCATAACAATAAAAAAAGGTACTCACCACATGCAGAAGGAAAAAGGTGATAACTAATAGTTATAAAGGTAAAGCTAAAAAAAACAATCACAAAACTTTCTGTTCAACTAAACATTTATTTTTGTAAAACTACTTTTCGTAACAAACAAACAATATGATTGCAACACATTTTGTGGCACAGAAAAATATATCTTTTAAAAGGAAATGGGTGACAAGAGAATTTAAAGAATCCAAAGGCGTCATGCAAAAAGTTAAATATAAAAGAACGAGTAATTTAACCGTTAAAACAAATATGAGAAGAAAGCTTAAATTTAAGAGGGCTTTTAATGTTAAAGAAAATTAATGGTATAAAATGTTGATTTTAAATTTTACAGAAATTTATTACAGTTATGGGTTTAATTTAAAATAAAGGTTAAGAAAAAAATGTAAAAAGAAATCCCTCGATACGGACCGAAGTCCGCATCGCGGAGAAAAAGGGGTAACCTGCCCGAAGGCTCGAGAGAAAGAGAATGTTTTTAAAAAAACTTAAAAATTCCTTAACTGGGGTAGACCAGAAAAACTACGACCAATTAAATTTAAAGAGGCGGAGAGTTTGAAATTTAAAGGAAAGATATTGGTTAGTTAGCCCCCCTAAAATTAAAAGAAGAAAAAGAAAGGCGTGAATAGAGGGGTTGGCTGACTTTCCCCACAGGAAGTGCGAAGACCGCAATGACCATGAGAAAGGTCAACAAGAAAGTTAAAAAATAAAATTGCCAAATTGAAAAAAAGGAATAACGTTTAAAGAAAAATTGAAGGCTTAAGTAAAATTAGAAATTAATTTGTCACTTTACATTAAGTGTAAATGTGACAATACTTTTCATATTACATTATTCTAATTTTGTGGTATACATATTTTAATATAAATACTGCAGAATATATTAAACTAATGCTGCGTCGAATTCTGTTTTATGCTTTCAATGTCCTCAAACTAGTGTCCTTTTAACCCATTAAAAGCCGCCATCTAAACCGTTGATAAAAAATTGGAATTTTGGTATGTTTTAAGGTGTAATAGACATTTCTTATCATATGAGCTTTAAATTTTTAAAAAAAATTTAATTGGTTAAAAGATATAATAGGGTCCCAAAATGGGAGACTTGGCGTTTAATGGGACTAACATAGCTCACTTACACACTACGCTACAAGTTAAACGTTTAGTTTCATTACTTGTATATATTTTGATAAAAATCGCCAAATCTATTTTAATGGGATCAATAAAGTTAAATTTGAAATAAACATGCTTGAACGAAGAAGTAAAATAGTTCATAAATATTTTTACCAGTTTTATTATTATTCTTCAAATTTGCCTGTTCTATATTTTTGTATGAAACAAAATTGTACACTTTTTGTGAAGCATTGCTTTACATTTTTCACAACACAAAGGAGAGTTCTTTTTGCACAGCTCATATTTTGACTGCTTACCAGCCTGTGTAATTAAGTGATTAACTCCATCAAATCGAATGTTGGTATTTACTTGTCCATGTGGTCCAAGTCCATTAGGCAAAGTCTCCGGTCCGTCCCATGACTACATCGCGAAGAAATGACAATTTTGACATCTGTACATTAACCTCACGATGAACCCTCCATGCTGTTACCACAGCCATGTTAAGAATGTTGGTAAAAAAAGGCCACCACCACTTTTTACAATTTATTTTTGGTCTGTAAGAACTGAATTCGGTCAAGAATATCAACATCAAATTTCTAATAAAACTAAAAACTTTCAACAGTCGATAAAAAAATATAAAAAATATGCATGTGAATTACTCAGCGAGAAAAAAATTCTTAACCAAAGGTTCCCAAAATGGGAGACTTGGCGCTTAATGGGTTAACCCATTAATCTTGATATTGGTATTCTTGATCTTGGGAAAGAGGAAGAAATCTGGAGGTGACATGTCCGGTGAGTAGGGAGGATGTGCTATGTTCCATGTTTTGTCTACTGATTTACGACCCTCCTTGAATGGCGGGAAGCACTCGAAAACCCGCGCACGACTCATCGTCTCATCTCCAAACGCTGTTTTCATCATCTCATAGGTTTCGGTGCCCGTTTTACTGAGCTAAAAGCAAAAATTTAAGCAGATTCGTGTTTTCACACGTGCGTTCATCAGTTTTCGATGAACGCATGCAAACACTCCACATGAAAGAAGTCAGTGTGACTGAACGGCGCGCTGTACAGACCTGCCGATTTTTGTGAGAAGAGGTGAAATATGCGCGTGCATGATGGGCACAGTCCCACCGCTAGGGGTTTTCTGGAACAAATAGAATACATTCAGTCTCGATACTTTCTGAACAGCCCTCGTATATTCAACGTAAAATAATTTTTTTTTTGTAGAGCTGAACGATAATAATAGAAAAACTTACAACTGTGGAATATGTAATTAAATTTTAATAAAACATATTTTCAATACAGGTGTATTAAGAGGATTAAATAGTACCATATTAGCATACGGACAGACCGGAAGTGGGAAAACCTTCACAATGGAGGTAAAGATTAATTTTATTTTACTATTATGTTTCGCAGCTGTACAGCTGTTAAATTTACTATACTTTTCCTATAAATACTTTTATGCTAATATGATTATAATATACTTTTCCTCAAATTGAAATTCATTTTTTTTTATTTTTTGTAGAAGTTTCTAAAAATTCGAAAAGTTTTTGAATAAATATCTCTTTATTCAAATATTCTCTCACTGTCAAAACAAGAATAAAGTAACACGGGTGGTATTGATTGTAAGTGAATTTTTATATTAAAATTCATTTACAATCAATAATAAATGAAAAATTTTGATTCCACTTTAAAATAGTTTATTATTTATTCTGTGTACAGAGTTCCCGCGGCCTTGAAAAGAACTTGAATTTCATTTTGATTTTCAAGGGCCTCTAGAAGTACTTGAAAATAATGTTAAATCCTTGAAAAATTTAAAATGATCTTGAAAAGTATCTGAAACTCTTAAAAACCGCCCCATTTTCCGCATTTCTGTGTTTAACTTCTGACGCACGTAAGTGCGAGAGAATGACTTTCCTTCCTTTCTGATGATGACGTGTGCTGTCCACGCTTATCAGTTGCTCACGTCACGATTTCCCTCTTTGGTCAATGTGGTCCTCAGCAAAGGCTGGTTTGACTTAGCTCTGGGTTTGACCCTATTGTAGTCCCTGCTTTTAACTCAAAGAGAGAAATATGAGTAGTTGGACTTGGAAGGAACTTTTTCCCTCTGCAGTAGCCTCCTGAGCAGATCCGTTTTTAAGGATGGGCCCCTAAAGTTAATCATATTTCGTTTTTTTTTTAAAATCCTAACTGATTTGTTAAAAAAAAAGTATTAGTTAGTGAGAAAGATTGAGGTGAAATAAATAATTGGTTCAGTCATGGGTCTCGTCAATAGCGACATGTTGCAAATGATGGAATAATACTTTCTTGTAGAAGGGGACTTCTGAAGATAACCCGAAACTTTATTTTTAAGTGAGTTATTCGTTTTACTTATTTGCTGCCCCTGCTACACAATTCCGGGAAAGGGGATTATTATATGCTAGCCAACAACAGTAGAGCAAAGCTTTATGTTTCTTCTTACTTTTGAAAAATAAAATTTTTATTTGACAGAAAATTTTAATTGTGTGTTTCAAATAATACTTGCTTTCTTTAATGTATTGACCTTACCTGCTTTTTGAGGGGCATTTTTTTAAAAAATCTAATACAAATAAAAGTTTAAAAAACTAACTTAGTAAATTGTTATTTTTCTTTTAAATAAAAGCAATATAAAATTTTTAAATTCAATGAATAAAAAAATATTAACAGTAATTCCATGTATACTGCAAAAATTCGTTCATGAAATCAAAAAATAATTCATAGCTACTATTTATTATATTATTATGAAAATATATTATTATTAATTTAAAAAAATTTTATTTTATGATTACGTTTTAGTCAGTTCAGTTATGATGACGTTTAGTCAAATTGAAAGGCAAACACCAAGTGCATACAATTAATGCTCCCGGAAAAAAAAATTCAAGTATCATAAAAAAATCACAGGTTAATTAAGACAGTCAATTCTTTATATACTGCAAAAATTAATTCGAAATCAAAAAAAATTCATAGCTACTATTAAATATATTATGAAAATATATTATTGTTAATTTAAAAAAAAAATTTATTTTGATGACGTTTAATCAAATAGAAAGGCAAACACAAAGTGCGTATGATTAATGCTACTGAAAAAAATTTAATAAATTCAAGTATGATTGGTTAACTAAAACAGTCAAAGTGACAAAAATTGTAAAGAAGAATCTATCAGAATATTTTAAGGTGAAAGTTGGCAACTGTTTCAATTTAAAATAACTGACCGGTCATTAATTTAAAATGCTAATTAAGCTGGGACAATAATTGGTTCATTTTATTTAATAGAGAAGTGGTTAAAATTTTAAAATTATATTTAAGAACAATTTAAATTTCACTGTCTAAATGCTTTTTCCACTTTAAATATTTAAAAATATTAAATAAAAATCTCCTGACAGAGTTGTTTTTATATATATCTCATTGATATTACAGTATTATATAGAACACCCCCCCCCCCNTCCCCCCCCCCATCTTCCCAGTAACTATGTTGTAGAAGTTCAGCTTTTTTCTATTTTTGTCCGCTTTATTTGATTCTTTTTTCAATCATATTTCACCACATACATTCAAAAATTATTTATTATATTTGTTAATGATAGTTTTGTTCTTTACATATCATTAAAATGCATGAGTTTTTTGCTAATAAATATCTTTTAATAATTTTAGGTAGTATGTTTTCTATTTTCTTTACTCTAACTGTAGATTTGTTATTATAAATAAATTTAAGTGTACTTTGTTTTCATTTTTGTATAGATTGTTTGAAATGTTCCTCTTTTCTTCATGACTTGTCCGGATCTTTGCTTATTCAGAGATTGTATACCTAGTTTAAAGTAGGCCTTATGTAAAATTCAAATCCGACATTTTTATGCATCATAAATTTTATCTTTGACTTGATGTCAATCACCCTTTGCTATTTTTTACCCTTAGATTACAGAGCAATGGAAGCTTTATTTTTCAGTACTGCTATTACCGTCTAACATTTATCGTCAACTAACTATTATCGTCAAGACATTTTGGTTTTAAATTTTAGTCTATCTTTTACTAAAATTAAGTCCTTGAGAATTTTAAATAAGTCTTGAAAAGTACTTGAATTTTATTTTTAAAGTAGAGCATGAACCCTGTGTGTAAAGATTTACTAATGAGGCTAAATGTTAATGTTTCTTAATATAGGGCAACTCTGAAACTGAAGGCATAGTACAGAAAGTTGCTTCCGAAATTTTTAGAAGAACAGAATCTTTTGAAGACTCAGTAAAAGTTGAAATTAAAGTAAGCATGAAAGGAAGTATCCCGTACCAATATTCAGAACACTATACATTAAAATTCTAACTGTCCAGTGTAATTTAAATTCTTAAATAGCATAAAGATTGTCGATGAAGCTTATTTTACTGCATGTATATAAATGTTTGTTATTTTCTAGATATCCTTTTATGAGGTTTATATGGAGAGAATTCGGGATCTTCTAAGTGGTAAGTTAAAGTTCAAGCTATGCTTATAAATTCAGTTCTTTAAAAATATAAGCATATTATTAATACATTGAACATCTTTTATTTTTTTCTTTCTTTAGATCATCTAGATAATGTCTTATCGCTGCATGAGAGGAATCACACAATTTTTATTAAAGTAAGTTAATGTTCTAAATATTTTTAACTTTAATTTTTTTAAAAATCATGTACATTCCGTAATTTTAAATTATACGTGAAGTTTTACTTCATATTCATGAATTAGGGGGCTTCCCTGTTTTTCTTTTCTAACAGATGCCTTTGGTAGTTCAGTAGAGGTATGATTGCAAAAGGTTTTGGCGCTTTTCTTTTAACAGGGAAGAGGCGTGAATTTTGTTTTCACTAGCTTAGTAGATCGCACGCTGCAAATTGAATTTCTTTTAAATTTGAAGCTGTACTAAAGAGGAATGAGTGATAATGAGCGACTCATCACAGAAGATAACTCTAATAAATTTATATAAATTTAATAAATGATTCTGGGAGAAATTTATATAAATGATTCTGGGAGTGATTAAAGCAGTACCCTCTTTATGCATGGGCACACCCGGGCAGTGCCCACAGGGGGCCCTTGAGAATCTTACATTTTTAAAATTGTATTAAAAAAAAACTAAGAATAAACAACTTTGCATTATATAATTTCTAATATAAATACCCATATATAGCAAAATAAGGTTTATATTCACTCAGCAAATCTACGCTCATTATTCTAATCGAAATCGATTCTACGCACATTATCCTAATCCAAAACCTTGAAAAACAACCTTCTATATAAAAACCTTAAATCGAGGTTGACTTAGGGTTTTCAAACGGGAAAAATTCCTTTAATAAATAAAGCTAGTCTCAAGGTGAAAATAGTTTTAAACCTAGATAATTAGAAGGTTTCTTTTCACAAAGTCTTTCATGTCTTCATTCCTCTATCCAGTCAATTTCATAAAATTTACTGGATGGGTAAATACGATCCAAATTCAAGGAGTAAGTAGACTCAATATTTTTCATTTGCTCGAATTTTAACTGTTAGTACTTCGTTTCAGGGACTTATAGAGAAGACTGTTTTAAATATTAGAGAACTGTTAGCTGTTTTCGGAGAAGCAAAGGGCAAAAGACGCACTAAAACAACTGGTAAGTGTTTATTCTATTAGTTACTGCAACAATGTTTAAATTACTCGTATTTTTTTATTTCGATGTAAATTATACAAATAGTTCGCTGATATGTGAAGGGTACTATTACATACAAGAATCAAGGTTTATCGTATTTTATTAGGGAGAAGGTGAGGTGTACATCTTGTTACGTTAAAGGCTGAACAACAGCTGACTAGGCGCGGGATAACAAATGGTTGAGTTGAGTTATTGCAAGGGGCATTTACACTGAAGATAAAATGCATGACAATTCTCTGGCTCTTAAATAAAAGGCTAATTATTAAAATTTAAGAGTCAATAAAGAATAATTAGAGATTTAATCTGATGACTGGTCTTTTTTCCCGAGTTGATCTCCTTAACTGCATTGGATTTATCTGGGTTACAGGACTAGATACTGGAAGAGAGGAGGGCATGGTGAATGTAGAGCTGGATACTGGACGAGAGGAGGGTATGGTAGGTGTAGAGCTGGATACTGGACGAGAGGAGGGTACCATGGTATCTTCTCTGTATTTACAAAAGCAGTTTTCCTCTTCTCTTGACTTAAAATTTCCTCATCCATCTCAATTTGAACTGGTTTAGGCCAGCTTTTCTTCGGATACTTTAGCCATTCTGGGCCCTGTAACCATCTTGATTCAATTAGGTGTTTGATGGTACTACCTCGAGACGGTATATCTGCAGGATTATATTTTCCAGGTACGTGATGCCAATAATTGGGATGAGATACTGTTCGAATTTCCTTTACTCGATTGGCGACAAAAGTAGCCCAACAATCTTCTCTTTTTATTCACCCAAGAGCATTTGTGGAATCAGTACAATAGTATGTTTCAATATCTGGTTCTTTTATGTCTTTCTTAACATTCTCAGCTAGGCGAGCAGCAATTAAACACGCTAAAAGTTCAAGTCTTGGGATCGTTATTGCCTTCAATGGTGATACTCTGTTCTTAGCTCTGACTAATTTGCAGGACATGGATTCTTCGGTTTCTAGTCGAATAAAAATACAAACAGCATAAGCAAATTAACTGGCATCGACAAACACGTGCAGGCTACAGTGTTTCAAGGGAAAAGTTCTTTTCATCAACCATCTAGAAATAAAAATGTCTTTCAAAAGTATTTTGCCAATTCAGAAATTTCTTTCAGATATTGGAGCAGCGCCATCTGTAACCTTTGAATGTGCATGCTCTCAGTGAACGAGGAAGAACAGTATGTAAACATGTACTGATGAGAAACCATCCCACCTTCATAACTAGAATTAAAGTTTTTTGTTTATCGAATCGTTTACTCAACATCCATGGAATTAACAGCCAGATATCTTCAGGTAGTTCTTTATCCCATGGAATCTTTTGTTTCCAGAAATCTTGGAGAAGTAATTTTGGCAACAAAGTAAAGGGGCAAACCATGCCTAGAGGATCATGAATTTGTTGAGCAACAGCTAGAATTTTCCTTTTTGTGGCTGGAAAAGGATCTTTAGTTACATTATAATTTGAATTGCAGTACAATACATCTTTTGATAAATCCCAGGAAAGTCTCAATGCCGAAATTAAATTTCCTTCGTCCAGCTTCTCTGTACTTTCAGTTATATTTGGAATAGGGTCATTCTCTAAGATGAAATAATTTTTCTGCCGTCCTCTCAAATCAAATTTTCCAGACAATAATAATTCTTTCGATTGTTCCATAAAAATTTTACTGTCTTCAATCGTGTCGAAACTGGTGAGACAAGTGTCTACATAAAAAGAGTCCTGTAACAACAAAGCAGTGTCCTTCGAGGTGGAGCCCTCGCTAAGTGGTGTTTAAGAGTGGCGCTTAACAAAAATGGACTACAGGTGAGTCCAAAAACAACCCTGCAGTGTCTGCAAATTTTTAGTTTATTCAAATCACCGTTTATCATCCAGAGAAATCTTAAATAGTTCCTATCTTCTTTAGACACACTGATCTGTAAAAAGGCCTGTTTAATATCCCCGGTTACAGCAAATGTTTTCATGCGGAAACGAGTTAAAACAGTGGGAATAAGTTCTAGAAAATTTCGCTCTTTGGCAAGACATTCATTCAAAGAGGTTGAATTCTTCTTTCATGCTGAAGCATCAAAAACGGGTCTTATTTTTGTCGTTGATGAATTTTTAATTACAGCTCTGTGGGGAAGAAAATGTCCAGGTAGAACCTAATTATCCATATTCACTTCTTCAATAATGCCTTCATTCAACCAAGCCAACAAGATGTCTTGATAAGTTTCCAGGATTTGAGCTGCTTTCAATCTGTTAATTGTTGTTTGCAATCTTCTTTCTGCTAATTCTCTCCCTTCAGAAAGTGCAGGGTGTAGCTGAAGCCAAGGTAACTTGACTTCATACCTACTTTCATTGTTAAATTTTAGAGTGCTTTGAAAATGTTCATAAGCAGCCTAGCATAGCTCAATTTTCGTTTGACTTTCGACTAGATCTGTAGTTCCTATTCTTTCTAAACTCCATGTGTCTGGCAGGCTGATGTCACTAGTGAGTAAGGATATGATTGACAAACAGGATTCCGAAACTGGAGACACGTGTGGAATTTTCCCCATGAGTGTCCAGCCCAGATGAGTACTAACTGCAACCGGCCCAGCTTCTAAATTCTGAATTTTACCGTTTAACAGCTTCCCAGCAACGTCTGCTCCTATCATTAGTAGAATCTCAGAATCAACTGCGCAAGAGGAACGATAATCCGAATCAGTTAAATTTATTCCTTTCATCCATGGTCCATGAGGAGTTTTCCTTATATCACCGCATATCTTTTCTTGTTCTAATACTTCAAAATTACAATTTTAAGTTTCATCCAAACTAGTTAAATATACTCCATAACAGCGATGCGTTTGCTGCGGAGATTCAAGGCCACCAAATGAGCTATGTATTATAGGAAGTTCTCCTAAACTCTCATAGTTCATCAATTTTACAGTCTTTGCACTAATATAGGAATGCTGGCTACCTGTATCAATCAGGGGAAAGTTAAGTGAGATTTCTAAAAACTGAAAAAATACAAATAGACTTGAAAAAAAAATTTCTTTCATTATAATAAATTTTTAACGTCTTCAATTTTTTAAAGCATTGAATATTCTTGCTGCATCATCATAGAAGATTTTGCCTTTACTAGGTATTTGTCCATCTTACATTAGTGCATAAAAAATTTGAACGTCTTACATGAAAAAACCTTACCTGCGGTAAACACGTGGTTGCAGAGAAATGTGTTCTGAAAGGGGTTCCGTGGTTCGGAGGGGTTGTGTTCTGTTGTTCGAAAAAGTTCTGAACAATACTGGTAAATAAGGAAGCTGATTCGGCAAATGTTGAAAATAATTAAAGATCCAGGAAGAAAAGTGAAACGGATTTTATTCTAATTGGCGCAATTCGAAGCTTTTTCCAAAATGCGAGAAATTCGCGACTTTTGAAATTGATTTATAGAATGCGCGAATTTCTCGCGATAATAATTTTTTAATGCGAGAAAAGAAAAAAATATGCGAGATTCTCGCGTTCTCGCGCTGTCGTGAAAACACTGCATAGTACAGTGAAATTTACAGCAACAAAAACTTATTTTACAATAACACTCTTTAGACACATGACCCCTTTTTAAACATTTGAAACAGCAACCAGATTTCCTAACTAGCTCTCGTCTTTCATCTAAACTCATATTTTTTTGCTTTATTGCAGTCTGAAGAATGTTTTTTAGCACAAAAAAAATACTTTCTTTCAAAATTATCATTTGTATTTAACAGTCCTGAAGCAGTAGGAATATCATATTTGTTTTCATTAAAATTATGCTTATGATATTTCTTATGCATTTCTCTTTCATAATCAAATGTATTTTTAGCAATGGCTAATCTTTGTTCTCCTACCACTTCTGATTTCAAAAATTCCAAGAGAAGAGTTAATTTGTTTACTTTACCCTCTTTCTTATTTTTTACTGAAAGAGAACTAATATGGCACTCCCATATTTTCAAAATATTATCTGACATACAGCTTTCTACCAGTGGGTACAGCATTGCTGCATATTTGTCTGAAGTAACTCCTAACGTACCTAAGGCTCTTAAGTACGCTTCGATTTTATCATAAAGTTTAACCAAATTGCATTTATTATGATTCAAAACTAAACTCAGCAGTTCTCTTACATATACTTCAATAAGATTGATTACAAATCTTTACTCTGATTACAAATCTTTTTCTGCTGATAGCACAAGTTCTTTTCTCTGATCTGACTTTTTGATTATAGCAGAATTTGATGGAAAAAAATTAATTTTTTTAAGAATAGTTTTAAAATCATAATTAGATTTTTTATTTTCCACTTAATTTTACACCTCTAAATGTGATTTAAAACTCTTTCGTAGGTCACAAGCGTTTAACAACTCACGGTCAATCAAAGATATGGTTAATAATCCAAGAAATTAAGGAAACAATGAAAGTTATGAACATTTTTGATATTTCCTTCACTATGAGACAGTATTTTCTTTTTTAATTATTATATTTATTGTAAATTTTTTTTCCATTTTTCTTTCGATGTATCGGATAAAAGAACAAGCAAATTTTACATAAACTCAGTTCATTGAAATTGTTGAAACTTTGCTGAAGTAAAAAGTTACTAGATATGGAATCCTTGTAAATTTTAATTGAAGTGAGATATTTCTAGCAGATGAAATAGCTTTGGAAAATGAATAATAATGCATNTCCTTCACTATGAGACAGTATTTTCTTTTTTAATTATTATATTTATTGTAAATTTTTTTTTCATTTTTCTTTCGATGTATCGGATAAAAG